ACAAGAATGATCAGTATAACGATGATAAATTACGATTATTAAATATTTATTAAATTTTTACACTTTCCTCCCTGTTCGAACTACTTTTCGAGTTTTTTTTAGCCATAATCTCAGAAATTGTACTTAATATCTATTATTCGTAATTGTTTTATTAACACAGATTATTTTATATACTTCATATAGTACCAACGTAGTAAAAAAAATATTTTAATTACCGTAAATTTTAAATTACATCTAAATACGCAGATGAAGTCACGGGCACGTTAACTCAAAAAAATATATAAAAATAAATATAATAGTAATAATAAGTAATATATAATAATTCAAATAAATTTAAAAAGAGTGACGCGCTATTTTTTTTTTAAGAAGATCAGCCTTATATTGTTATAAGGCTGATGAATACACCGATTTATCGACAAGTACGTTTTAACGTTTCAATGGTTTGAGCCACCGATGAATGACAAGGGATTTCATAGACATATTAGACTGAAAATATTTTAATTTTCAACACAGGATCATATATAATCTATATCAAATTTTTCTTCAGAAAGAAAAACGGCAATTTCAACCGTCATAAAATTAATTTGACATTAATATGGGAGTAAAAAGACACCAACACGGGTGAATACTCTATCAATTCTCTCGCTCCGCTTAGCCTTATTATTCTCTTTTTGAAGTCGTTCTTCAAATGAAATCTATCGATTACGAAAAGAATTTTCATAATTTGTTCAGAATTGTCAAACAGTTGGGGAACAACTCCAAACCAATACAAATGAATTGAAAATCCAATTATTTTTAAAATCGTTTTAAGTCAATATTGAATTGTGTGCGTGTAAAGTCTTATTTGGTTCTAGTATCAGTGATACGTTAAGGTAAATAAAACGTGCAATATATATAACAAACAACGATCAGAAGCCACTCATTAGGTTCCACACGATTCAGTTCTCGTAAGCTTGTCGTCCCTCCGCTTATAGTATGCATCAGTGTTCTAATGGAGTATTTTGACGGACACCAGTACAGCGCACCCTCAGACGTTTCAACATGCACAGATTGACAATATCTACCAGCTTAATGAAGCGACTGGACCTTACACAGAGTAATAGGAAGTTATACTTTTATAAAGACTACGTAACATGGTGAGTTTCGGGAAATATAGAAACTTCTTTGCCGAAAATAAAAATATTAAAAAAAAAGAATAAAAGGAATAAATTGTACGTTTAAATTTATTGTTATCTCTACAAAAATGTTATGTCTTTTGAGAAGTAAGCCATTGTAATTGGTAAATTTATTAAATTGATTATACAATAACAAGTTATCGTGTCACATAATATCGTTTTGGATAAACGTAAGTTAAAACGACAGTTACTTATTAATATTCGATAAGATACTTTTTTATGACTAAAAATGAAACATTAACTTATGAAATATGAGTAAGCTAATAACTGCTAAAAAATCCACAATTTGAAACAAAAATCGAGATAATCAAAGTTTTCTGAATAGACTTTAAGAATATTAAATAGTTTCTACATTAATTATAAATCGCGTACAACGCGGTTTCAGAGATGTTTTCTCCCACGAACACTCAGGTTATGGAATCAGTTCCCTGTCGAGGTTTTCCCAAGAGACTACAGCATAGGGTTTTTCAAAAGAGGGGTAAGGAGATTTCTTCAGGGTCGGCAACGCGCGCGGAATACCCCCTGGTATTGCAGGCGTTCATAGGCTACGGTAACCGTTTACCATCAGAAGGGCCGTATGCTTGATTGCCACGTCAGTCATATAAAAAAAGTATCAATACACCTCCATTTCGTATATACGTGTCTTTATTATCTAATTTATTTATATGCTCTTGTATATTAAGTTTTAATATAGATATCAAATTATGAGAAAAATTTACACAGACCGATTCGTCTCTTGAGAGGATTTCTTCCAGTCAATTTTGAGCACCCGAAAGAAGAAAGTATCTATAGGGTTTGTAGATATATGGTGCAAAAATAATATCTTAATTACATTAAATATGAAAAACTGTAAATAAGTTTCTTACACAATTACACTGAACCGATTTAAATGAAATTTGGATATAACCTACCCGTGTGGAGTAGGTTAGATTTAATATATAATAAAAATTTTAACTTAATACATAGGATCTATTGATATACTGATCCACGAGGGCAAAACCGCGTAATATAGCGAGTACTAACACAGGTTCACTTAACTACGTTATTATTGTTTAGAATGCAAAAAATGTAGATGTTATTTCAACAAAGCCGTGCATAGAACAAATATACATACTAGATTAAATACTTTAAACCTACGCTTAATCGTTACTAGTGTGTTCAGAAAATAAATTAAGTACACATTTATAAGCTCATATTCGAGTATCGAATCGAATCGAATTATATAGATGTACAATGGGGCCGATTTTGGAGCATTATTTCTGTAAACTGTAAACTCTTAACCTAATATTTTATCTATATTTCTTTTTTTATTATTTTTTTTTTCAATGGAATTTCGCGGCAAATTTTTGGCCACAACAGAATATCAGTGTTTGGCTCTTTTTAAGGCAAAGTAATAAGCAGAGTTTAACCATTTTCTGTTACTGTGAATATGCATGAAAGGGAAAAGTTGTTACTAATTTTATGCATTTTATTTTTTATTTTTTGTACATGTATCTTTTTTAACTTTTTTCATTGTGCATTTATGTCTATTGTTGTTTGTGTGCTGCAATGAAAATAAAGTATCTATCTATCTATTTTAATTTAATAATTTCGCTACATTACTGTTATAATATGGACCATTAGAACTTAATTTATAATAATTTTTATTTAAATATATTAGAAGATTAGTTCATACTAGTTGTAGCCCGTGGCTCCGCCCGTGTAAATCCGTACATAAAGTATTCTATGTACTAGTTAAGTTATGATATGACCTATCCATGTAGCAAATATAATTAAAATCTGTTCAGTAGTTTTTGCGTGAAACAGTAACAAACATCCATCCATACATCGTTACAAACTATCACAATTTATTGTATTATAGATACATATAATTAATAGGATTACCTTTACAACAAGAATTACTATGTGACATTAAATACATTTAAAGAAACAACGCTTCAGAATCGATCCCAATGTACAGTTTTATTAGCATTGCTTTATTAGGTACTTATTTGTGTACTGAATTAAATCCCAGACCGAACAATAAGTACATGTTTATTTTACAAGAATAGCTTGGAATTACGGTAAAGAAAATAAGACATATTGAATCTGACTTGATTTTTATCACAAAGATATATGTTCATTAGTGAATTATTAAATGTCAGACTCAGCATCTTTACTAAATTTACTTTTGAGCTAAAATTAAAACTTCTAAAATCCACACTTTGGAAACGGGAAATATATAACCAGACAAGTAATAAGTTTAACGTGTCTTTGAACAACACGTGAGATTATCTCTGAATTCATCGAAATAGTGTAAACCGGCGTTGCGTTTTAGCGGAACAAATATTGAAACATTGTGCAGACAATAGTCGGAAATGAAGATAAGTAAGTACCTACAACACCTATTTCATTTAAAGACGATAGTAAAGCATCTACTTAGTGGATATCTTAACTTTTTCCCCTACATTGTGTTGTTAACATGTTTGCACAATTTTAGGCAAAGAAAAAATATTTTTTTTTACTATCATTTAAAATCATAGCGACAAGTAATTTAGAAAATAATAAAACATACTTAATTAAACATAATAGATATAACGATTATTTACATAATTGCATATTATTTAATTAATTAACAGAGTAATATAATTACAATTCTAAATAGTAACAAGGAGATTTTTAATTTGAATAACAAAAACAAATAATAAAGTTACTAATAACATTAAACTATCATGAAACTTGATTTATAAAAAAACCGTAGAACGTACAATCAGACATTTGAATCGAGAAAGCGTCCATCACTAATATACTAGTAGCGCCATCTATCTTTTATAAATGTAACTAAAAATGACAGAATCGACCAATATTTTTGTTTTTAACTTGGATTAATAAGATATTTTCACCGCCTAATATGTCATTTAAACTATTTCACTGCATATATTTCCATAAAAAAATATATTGTTTAATAAAAGTGCTATTATAATACTTACAAAACATAAACTTGTATCAGCTGTCATCTGTCAAAACTTTCGCCACAAATGTTCACAAAAACAGATTAAATTATCATATAAAACACTATTTTGACCGGTTTGGACAAAAAACTATTGGTACAATTGAATAAAATATGCATCAATATCGATTTTTGGCAATATTCCATATGTTTTCTTAGGATTTCAAAACATAACCTATACAGCTTCTAATTAGGTAAAGTTTTAATTATTTCCATTATTAAGAATTACAATTTATTGTCAGTATGCATAGAAAATAGCATATATTTCTCACTACAGTTGAATTTAGTATAAATAATCATTAAAATACAAAAATTTTTACACTACTTTGTATGATCACTTGAGTCATCTAGAAATTGATATTCAATTTTTTTTTTTAATATTCCTTGCAAAAACTGAATATTTATCATTATTAAGACAAAATTAAAAAAATCTTTTTATATATTCCTACTTCAAATTATCTATAAATATTTCTTCCATATTTTTTTTTTTGTCAAATTACACTTGATATTCTGGAAACTTAAATTTGAATAAATTGTAATAATTTCAATAATCTATCATGGTATTTCTATTTATTTTTGTACTATTAAATGATTATAATTGTTATAACCCATATTCAACTGACAATAAACTCTTAAAAGTGTTCGCTCACCAAACTTCTTATGCATATTTAGCTCACTGCGACTCACAAAATGCAGCAGATAGATTGTAACAGAAGTAGTATTAAATTATATAGTACAGATATAATGCACTTTTACACATGGCACATACTCTGTTCCCCCGTGTGATGAGTTCGTCCCATATGGAATATTGCCAAAACCATATCTCTGCGACCCACCTTCTTCATTATCCCAGTCTTCCTCTTAGAAAATGTGGTGTACCGCCGTAGTTTGTTGTCTATGTACTCCATTTTGATCTTGACACGGCCCTTGGTCTTTTTACCATTGGACGGTGGTGACTTCTTAGGCTGAAGAGAAGCATAGCCATCATCTGCAATATCTGGCATGGTACAGTGATCTAGCCCGACACTTTGAGAAGGCCGCTCGTCGTAGCACTGATCCGAAGGTCTCTTCACACCAGGCCGTGGCATCGGGCAAGTCTGCATGCCCGGCCGTAGGCCTCCGCCGCCAAGCGAGCTAGGTGGTCGGCCCGCACCGTACATATCCGGCATTTCCCCGAGGAGTCCCATACCGTACGGCGACCCGAAGCGGGGCTCCCGCGCTCCGCCGGGCGCGTCCATTATAACCTCGCAGTACGCCACAGTAGCCGGTGCGCGCACGCGCTTTGCACACCTCACCGTCCGAACGTCGAACGGAGACTGACCGAAAACGCGAAAGAACCGAGGGCGGGACTGACGACTCGGCCGCTCGGACCGCGACTGACTTCGCGCGGTTCCGTCCCGCGCACCTCGACCGCTATCCGTCCCGCTCGCACGTCAACGTTAATAGCGAACTACGAGAGCGACGGAGAACCGAGCGCGGACGTAACCCGACACATCCGTAGGAAAAGCGTTGTGAACCGGGAACCCGCGAACGCGAACATTTCAGTACCCGAAATCAGTGTTAAAATAGAGTTTTTATTTTTGAGTTTATTTCGTAAATAGAAATAATAGAGTCGGAAGTGTGGCGGCGCGCGCGCGACGGCGGGGCGGTGGGCAGGCCCAGAGCCATATTTAGACTCGAGCCGTACCAAATATGGCAATCGACGGTCAAATGGGGGCCACTGAAATCCCTCCTACTTGCACCTGGCGATTTTCACATCTAATAATTAAAAATTATGTCACGTCACTTCTTAGATATCTACACATACTTAGCTGCTTCAGTTAATATGAATAGGTACTTACGCATTTATATTTTTCAACATTGTGTATGTGTTATAGCTGCTAGGTAATTTATCTTACAATTTTCCTATGAAAATACCGATGTACAGGTATAGACGTGCGTTGGTAATCTACCACCTACAACCCACCAAATTAAGACATAGTATAGAAAAATTCTCGTCTATTATGGGATTTGAGAAGTCTAATTAGTCTTTATTAAGAGCAATATAATTATTTGACGTTAAACAGCTATTATGTCTACTAGAGTACATAAGTATTTACTTAATTATGAAAAATGATGATCCGAGGTGACCGATAAATATTTTTTTTAATATTACTAATTATAAGACTTGACTTCGCCTGCACGAATTTAGCTTGTCAATTATTCGACGATTATGAGGATAAAAGTACCTACTTTTAATCTACACAAGACATAATTTATTTGCAAGCAAAATTTCAGCCTTATCTGTTCAGACAATTTTAAACCATTTGCTAACAAAAACATATTTGGGAATAAAAGATAAAGTGTGTTTCTCGTGTTGACCTCAATGATCGACAGTTTTAATATTTTTTTTACATTATCATCATCATATCTGTCCGCTGCTGAACACGGGCCTCCCTCTTGGGGCGTTTTGCCAGTAGTTAGCACGCTTGGTCGATGGATTGGCAACCGCAGTCCGACTTTGATGTTGTTTTAAGAAGCACGCTGCTGCGTATCCGCCGAGCATTAAATCGCCTTAGTCGCCTCTAACGACACCCACGGGAAAGTAAGGAGGCTCATTCTATGCCAAAATCAAACAGCGATTTCTTTGCATGTTATTTATTTATTTATTAAAAAGACGTTATATTTATTTATTTATTTATACTTTATTATACACAAAAAATAGATAGATACATAAATAGATAATTTATTTGCATTACAGCACACAAATTATAACATATACAGATGTACATAAAAAGCGAGATAAATTATTAAAAAGAATACATAAAGTCAAGCACAATTTTTCGCGCGTGTTTGTAAGCTTTTGTGCGCATGCCATAACAATACAAAATGGTCACAACTCAGTTTATTGCTTCGCCCTCAAAAGAGCGAATACTGATATTCTGTTACACACTGTTATACACTGATATTCTGTTGCGGCCAAAGGGAATAGGGTTACAATAAAATAATACTACCAGATTATCCGTACAGTAAATAGACAGATATACAGTAAACAGACAGATATGACAGTCTATCTAGTAAATTACATAGTATATATATATATATATATATATATATATATATATATATATTCACAAGGATTGAAGATGATTTCTGCCCTGTCTTCTTGAAGTTCTCTAATTTTTACATGCACATCTTTGCAACTGAAACGTATTTCATTGTCACTCATTAAATATTGTATTTAAAATTGCAAACAAGCTGCCGGCCCACCTGATAGAAAGTGGTAACTGTCGCCTATTGACTAAGTGTAAATATATAATACTGGTCATCATAGAATGTACTTTGATGCTCATAGTATCCCTTATGCGTTGCCAATCCTGACAAGTATGATGTTATACCACAGTAACCTTAATTTTAGTATCATATTCAATATTATATTGATAAACTAAATAATATATCTGTATGTATGTTTGAGATTAATAGACTCCAATATTGTTTGTCACATAAGTCACTCAAGGTTTGCTGAAAGAGAACTCTGGCAAAGTTAAGTTCGCCTGTTGTACATTTGCTTTTTACTGTCATATTTCTTCATGTATTGTGTATACAATTAAAGATAAATAAATAAAATTACAACGTACAAAGGCGGGGGAAATGGATTGTTAATAATTGGGTTTAACAGCATCATTATTAGCAATATATCAAGTCGACCTCCATGTGGTTCCCTCTAAAAACTATCGTGGTTAATTCTTGTAGAATACGTCACGATGGGCTAAGTGACCTGCTTCCATCCTCACCTATCATCCATTACTGGTATACCGATAGCGCAGGAGAGGTTACCATTCCATTCTCACCCATTAAAAAAGAGGTATGAAGGTATAATATCTTAGTCCTCAAGAATCGTATGTGCAAGCATGGCAAATGTATTTTATACACGACGATTAGCTTCCACTTTCCATGACTAAACCATCAACCCCCATTCCAAGTTGCAAGTAAAAAAAAAACTCTAAAAAAACTACAAACTCTGCCAAAGACAACATCCAAAGAAATTTGAAAAAGTCGTTTCCTTTTTATCACGATAGGAAATCGAACGTGGAACAATAAACACGCAAAATACCACTACGCTGTGTGTGATGGTCGTAAAAATTATCTCTATGTAACATATATGGGGAATTAGTCTCGTTTTATGGCGTTATTAGCAAAAGTTTGTGAGTTTAATTGTGTACCAGTGAGCCGCCCACCCATCCTTCGCGTTACGTCGTCTTACTGCATTGGTATTGCCATGTACAGAAACTATTTTATTACACTTAGTCACGGTGCGTTCACCTCGTCATTATATATTTAATATAGGCATCTATTTATTTGAAATAGGAACACCAATAATTTTAAAATGGCTTAGATTAGGTATATACCTAGGGAGGTAGGCAATGTCTGGATATTGCAGTTACAGTATCTATGTATAGAGGGAAAGGGATTGTTAGTAATGGAGACTGAGAATCCCATTGCTAGCAGTATACCCAACCAGGTCGACCTCCTCGCGGTTCTCCCTGGAAACTATCATGGGTAATTCCTAATGAATTCATCATGATGGGCTAACTGGCCTGTTTTCATTCTCATCTATCACCCTTCACTGGTGCTCCGCCAGCGTATCCCGTTAGCGCAGGCGGGGTTACCATACCATTTTCACTCATCAAAAAAAAAAATATCTATGTATATATTAGTCCAATACTATCGGCACCGCCGGTTCGCACCTGTACTGCTCAGTTTGCTCCCACTATCAGGCTATTTCTCTGCTCAATTCTCTGATTGCTCAGCAGCCAGATATTGATATTTTTAATGATAAATTAGATATAATTTTTAAATGTTGTTTAAAATTTTCAGTTTGTAAAATAAAGGGAGGGAGACTTCGTACAAAAGTCGATTGCTTGGGTACCTCTGACCCATTCGTGTTTCTACCGTGAAGTAGTTGTGTTTGCATGGCTGTATTTCGGTTTGAAGGGTGGAATATGGCGTGAATTTACTGGGTACAGAGGAATAACACCTGAGTCTTCAGGACTGGCAACGCATGGAGGGTATCATGGGCGAAACAGTATACTCTGTTATGTCCATGGTACTGCTCATTTCTATAGGCGACGGTTACCACTTTCCATCAGCTGGACCGTCAGCTTGTTTGCCATTCTATGTCGTATAAGAAAAAATTAACTATATTATTTTCGAAATATCTATCCACCTGTGCGTATCGCTAATTAGGATAAAATAAACCACTACGACATCATAGCCTTCAAGAAAAGAGCATATTCCTTTTTAAAAGGCCAGCAGCACACCTGCGATGCCTCTGGTGTTGTGAGTGATCATGGGCGGCGGTAGTTACTTACTATCAGGTGAGCCGCATGCTCGTTTGCCCTCTGTGTTGTAAAAAAAATCCCCTATAATGTTGACATAAAAAATTTCTAAACATATAATATTGATCATAATATTACCAACAAACAGTATGATAGCGTGTGCAGTTGTTCCAGAGCTCACATTCCATACCAAAATGGGCAGCGCCACAGAAGGCAGTGTTGACGCAATGTCATTCAATATGCCAGCAAGGGACACTACGTTGTCCAATAAGACGGACACGGTTACCGAGTTAAATAATATAAAACATTAAAAATAATATACTCACATCTATAATTTCTGAATGGCAACTTATGGGGAATATCATGGGCTAAACATTATACTCTGTTATGTCCATGCTTTTTACTAGAGGGAGACTTTGTACAAAAGTCGATTGCTTGGGTACCTCTGTCCGTCCATCAAGTTTTTGTGTGTGTCATCAAGTGTCCATCAGTGTTTCAACCGTGAAGCAGTTATGTTTGCATAACTGTGTTTCGGTTTGAAGGGTGGGATATAGCGTGAATTTACAAGGTACAGAGGAATAAAATCTGAGTCCTCAGGAATGGCAACGCATGGGGAGTATCATGGACGAAACAGTATACTTTTATGTCCATGGTACTGTTCATGTCTATAGGCGACGGTTACCACCTTCCATCAGGTGGGCCGTCAGCTTATTTGTTATTCTAAGTTGTATAAAAAAATGCTATTGCTCATGTCTATAGGCGTCAGTTACCACTCACCATCAGGTAGGCCATCAGATTGATTGCTATTTTACATCTCATAAATAAATCCCTAAAAGGATAGTTATCCTAATTTTAACCCTCAGGAATGGCAACACATGAAGGATATCGTGTCCTTCACAGCGTAATAATAGTGTTAATTTTGTCTATAGTCGATGGTCATTTTTTTCCATAGACAGTCACCTTGTTTAACGTTCAAAGTTCTATAAAAATATATATATTTTACAACACTTGTAATAAAAACAATTACAGACTTGTAATAAAAAAT